GTACAAAGGAATTGAAATAATTAAAGTTAATCTAAGTAAATTACATATTCTCCATTTGAGAGTGAATTTTGTCGGGGCTATCTTCGTTGTCTTCTTCTTTTTTTTATACGGTTTGGACAGTTTTTAATCGCTTAGAAACTGTTTGAAACCACCCATTTTTTTTTATCATGGCCAACATGTCCAAAACTGCCGTTTATAACTGTTACCACACGACTCCATACCATTGAGATTCTTAGATCGTGGATGTGGCATGAACTGCTTGAAACCGCTACCTTAGATAATGACAAGACGTTGTCTTCATTGGGACTTTGGGCAACTTAATCGTTTGGGTGATGATAGACTCGTAGCTCTTGGGCGACTATAGGAAATTCTATTCGCTCAGGCTCTGGGCGTTAAGAAATTAACTTGAAGTAGAAATCGTTGCAATTCTTTTTTGTTACTAGGCGGTTTGGCCTCTAAAATGACTTTTGCTTTATTATTATCGAGTTCGATTCCTCTTAGTGTACTAGAAAACCAAGGAAATTACCGGCATTGACACCAAACGCACACTTCAAAGGATTTAATTTCAGCTTATATTGTCTCATTCGCTCGAATGAGCATTTTAGTTGTTCGAAATGATCTTCCTCTTTAATAGATTTGACCACGATATCATCCACACACATCCCAACAAACTTGCCTATCATATTATGAAAGATTAGATTCACTGCCATTTGATAGATTCACTGCCATTTGATAAGTCGCTCCTACATTTTTCAGGCCGAAAGGCATAACTACCCATTCGTAACACCCTAAAGCCCCTGGGCATCTAAAAACAGTTTTGTGTATGTCTTCTTCAGTTATATATATTTGGTTATATCCTGAATACCCGTCCATAAAGGAATACATGACATGTATGGCAGTGGAATCAATTAAAGAATCTACCGTGGACATTGGATACTCATCTTTAGGTGTCGTTAAATTCAGATTTCTAAAGTCTATGCACACCCTTAATTTACCATTCTTTTTTAACACTGGCACAATATTAGATAACCATTCAACATATCTAACTGTCCTGATGAAGCCTGCTCTTAATAATCGCTCAATCTCTTTCTTAATTTCAGCGACACGTTAGGAGCAAAACGTCTAGGAGGCTGTTTATGGGGTTTAAAATTTAATTTAGTTGACATTCTATGTTCCACTAAATTTTTATCTAAACCAGGCATATGTTCATATTCCCACGCAAAGCAGCCTTTATATTCTTTTATAAAGCGATTAATGCTGTACTAATCTCCTGACTAAGCATCTGGCTGATAAATGTTGGGCGATCTTCTCCCATGTCGCCAATGTTTACTTTGACCAAAGGGTCTTGTACTTGAGCGTTCCAAGATTTGGTGATCCTCATTACTTCATCATCTATATCTTTTGTAAGCGATTCTTCTTCTAGGCAATCCACCTTGTTGACTTCTTGGTCAACACTTTGCTCCAATTTGAATATTGCCAACTTGTCTCCTAATGTTTTCAAGTCTACTTCTTTTTTTATTTTCTCTTGACATTCTTTATTGAAAGCCACTAGTCTGGCTTTGAAGGCCTGGATCTCGGCCACATGCTCTTTTGGTTGCCAACTCATCAATATTGTTTGATTGTTCTTTTGCCAATCACTGACTCTTCCAGGGCCACTATGTTTGGCCTCATTTGACTGAACATTTCAGCTAGTGCTTCTACCGAAAATGGTTCTTCACTCTGTGCAACGACGTACCCTGTATTCTGTTTGGAACAAGCTCAGAGCGATGGTGATTCTGCCATACTTCTGGTTTTTTAGTATTTGCTCTCATTTCTCCTTTACATCTGGCACATAAGACTTCTTCGTTCTTCATGGATTCCTTTCCTCTAATACGTTCAAACACGGTGACATGTTTCTCAGGATCTTCTTCATCATCGATGACCAACTTGAACCTTGGCAATTTATTTTTGAGATTGGTTGTCACCATATTCACCTCAAGTGGCTATGGGAAATGATTCTCATCCACTTCCATCTTCTTTTTGTCTTCGAAAGTGATTCGTCCTGACTCAATAGCGTCCTGTAAAACATGACGGAAAACCAGGTAATAATTAGTCATATGTGAACATGCATTATGCCATTTACAATATTTTTTACCCTTAATTTCTCAGGGTTTGGCAACTTATATTTATCGCTCAACTTTATCTGCTTATCCTTATACAATTTATCACATATAAGGTCAGCTTTCGTCACGTCGAACGAGAACGTTCTGCTCTTTTTGTTTTCTCTTTTCATAGGCTCATCTCTGGTTAAATCCCTAGGCTTAGCCATTATGGGACAAGTATATGCATCCCCCTTAGTTAGTTCGGCCAAACATATTTTAGTTTGATCGTAAAATTCATCATTTATAGTATGAACGCCAAAGTTTGGGTCTTTGTAATAAGTCTCTTTACTAGAATTTTTTACTTGCTCTTCTTCTCTTATCAAACGTTCGTACCTAATTACGTTCGCACTAAGTTGGAACAAGTCAGGGAACTCCCTATCCTGGAACTTTTTCTTTAAATCAAAACTTAAACAGCTTTGAGCGATTTTGACAAATTCTTTTTCAGGCAGGGGTACAAAACATTTACTCCTGCCTATTTTGAACCTTTGAAGAAAGCCTTTTTGCCCATTCATTTGGCATTTGACGTAAGTTCGCCAAATCGGCCAGTGTAACTTCAGATTCTGTTTTATAAAATTGAGCATGAAACAACTGTTCCATCTGATGCCATGTCTGAACGGAATTTGTTGGCAAGTTAATAAATCACGAAAAGGCTACTCATGTTAATGAACTAGGGAATAGTCTCATTTTATGGTAGTCGGTCACCTCACCACTCTGTAATGTGAATCGTCCTATATGTTCCAGAGTAGATACTTCTCCTAAACTAGTGAACAATGAAAATTCGGGCACTTTATACCCTCTAGGCCATGGATATGCTTGATCTACCCAATCAGGATATGGTTTAGTGTAAGTCAGCCTGATAACAGGATGTACCCCAACAACCATTTGATCTTGTACTATTTCTGTAATTTGATTCCTCAGTAAAGCATTTGGATCATATGAGATTCCTATGCGTTGGTTCACTTGTTGGTTTACTTGAGGTGGCCTGATATTTGGTCCTTAATTGGCAGGGAAGGTGCCATTGTTAAGACCATTATACCCATTATATTGAGTGTTTACCCCCCTTATTAACACGGGGTAAATTATGTCCATTATTCAGAACATTATCTCTTATGTTTAGATTACCCCCCAGGTTGGTGGTCACATTATCGCCATTCAAATTTGGTGCTCCCCATGGTTTGAGGTGGAAGGACCGAAAAATGTTTCTAGACCTGGACCTGGGTTTAAACCAGGGGAATTCTGTGGTGAAATATGTCCCACAATTGCCCTGGTCTGGAAATGACTTCCTATGGTTGGTTGACATACTTGGCCTACTAATTTGCTCATAAGATCATTCAAAGCACTCAATTGTTTGGCTATGTTATCATAGTGAACATTTTCACTTTGGGTAAATTTTTCCATATTATGGACGTTTTGTAAATTTACCTGTTCGACGACATCTTGTGTGAGTTCTCCAAGCAATGCATGCATGGTTCGAGGACTCAATTCTATCATTGGTTCATAACGACTGTGACTGCTTGGAGTATGTCCTTCTGACTGAGGAGAATGTTGTTGTTCCTCGTATCGCTCGATCACAGACTGGACTACTCCGTGACTTGCTGGTGCTTTATCAAAACTTTTATGAGGCATAATGTTTTCCTTTTATATCTTCAAACACCAACTGTCCCATTGGACGTGCCAAATTGTTTCGCGCGTTTTACTCGCTAACAATTAAAAAGGGATCAGACGATTGTGTAAGGGACAAACCTTTTGGAACAAAGTCCCAAAAAGGGGTGTTTATTGAATATGAAGATTACAGTTTGGACGCGAACAAGATGCCTCCAAGGGGCGCAAGCACACAAGTACAAGGGAATTGAAATAACTAAAGTTAATCTAAATAAATTACATGTTCTCCGTTTGAGAGTGAATTTTGTCGGGGCTATCTTCGTTATCTTCTTCTTTCTTTTATACAGTTTGGGCAGTTTTTAATCGCTTAGAAACTGCTTGAAACCACCCATTTTCTTTATCATGGCCAACTTGTCCAAAATTGCCGTTTATAACTGTTACCACACGACTCCATACCATCGAGATTCTTAGATCGTGGATGTGGCATGAACTGCTTAAAACCGCTGTCTTGGATAATGACAGGACGTTGTCTTCACTGAGACTTTGGGCGACTTAATCATTTGGGCGATGATGGACTCATAGCTCTGGGCGTCTACTAGGTATTCTATTCGCAGGACAGGGTATTCTATTCGCTCAGGCTCTGGACGTTCTGCAAGCTTGGGCGATAGCGGTATTTTGTTTGTGGGCTTCCATGTCATTTGTCTACACTCTTATCTGGGCTTTCGCACTGGACTTTCAATTGGGCTTTTACCCTTATCTCTCTAAACGGGCTTCTTCCCTTGGGCCATTTCCTTTCTTGGGCCATTTGAATTGGGCTGTACATTTTGTGTGTCAACAGAACCAAACCGTTTAAAAATGTTTTCCTTAGTTTGGAAAGCGAATGATTTGATTTGATTTGGTACGAACCTTTTTCAAATCAGTTAAAATGATTTGGCTTGATAATAAGTTAAAAAACTGCTCAAATCAAATCATGTTCACCCTTAATGACAAGTCGATAGACTCAAATTTTACAGTGTGTTTCTTAACATTCGAAAGCAAGAAATTTCTATCTTCTCAATGGTAGGACTAATAATTGGATTCATAATTTTATTTTGGCAACATAATACAAAGATACATAGAATTCCATATCAGAGCAGATAATGCAACAGATAAACTTTTTTAGTTTGGTGCGGGATAATCCTATAGATAGTATTAATTTCTTCTATATCATACTGTCCGAAGAGCGAATTGTGATATAAATTAATCGCGGAAATGTGATCATGGAAATCCATTGATAGACATTCCACCATCTGGGTAAATGATCTGTCCGGTGATGTACGATGCAGCAGGGAAGCAGAGAAATGTTACCAGCGACGAGACTTCTTTAGGCTCTCCCGGGCGGCCAAAAGGGATTCGAGAAACTAAGCTGTTTGTTAATTCCTTCTTATCAGCAGATGTCTGAAAAAAAAATAGAAAGAAAACAATAAGCATAATTAATCATGGAATGGTCTATAAGGTTGTTCATAGACGCTCTTTACGGAAAAATTCCTTAGTGACTGGTTCTGACGGCTACGCTTTAAATTATTACGAATAGAAACCTTTGCGAATCGTCAAAACTTAATTTATATGCAGAACATGTAAAATCGAATCACAAAGTCTCTCATATCTATATTCTAGATACATCTTTGATCTTGGTTTTTTCATTGAGTGCACAAACGCCAACAAATATTATATTCACTCCATTGTATCCTAGAGGCAAATTTGATTCACCTGTGCAATCTTTTTGTGAGGAACAAGTACTATCTTAAAGAGAGCGTCATTACGTGACTAGAAATCTACTGTAGATTTTTGTTCGAGTTTGGTTCATATTCAAGTTATTGCAAGGAATTTCCTTACTGACAATTTTAAGACAATATTTGAAGTAAAGTTGCAATAGCCTCTCCAGTGTCGTCATTATGGGATTTCATAGTTAACTTCGTGATATTGGAGAGGTATTAACTTCGTGATATTGGAGAGGTTCGAAGGGGCAAATTTCCTGCATCGGCAGAATGAACTTCATTTGTTCTGACCACACTCAATGTGGTATATGTTGGGGGTGGAATAAGAATATACGACACGATATGAAATATTGATTACAACAACAAGATGAACACAAAGACATGAATTTAATTTGGCGTAGGAATTGGAGGTTTTATTCAACTATAATGGCGAAAGAATTACAACAATTGCGTTTCTCACAATTATTCTAACTTCTGTAATAAATGAGATTGTAAAGAAGAATCACTATATAAAGGGGACTTATCAAAACCCCAACAATATTCATGAAGATAAAAATAGTATAAACAATGCATGGAATGAAGGAAACAATATTTTTCCAAACAAAAATCCAACCGAATTCATGTCTCAAACCCAACAATCTCTACTTAGACACAAATTCCACTACAGCAAACGAAACTCCAAAATTTCTTCACCTAGAGAAAAAATCCGACTGCAAGAAATGAAGTAAATTCTTTAACAATAACTAAACTAACTTCTCCAACGAAGCAAAAATTCTCCACCTCTTCCGCGATATCCAACCAGAATAAATGAATCTAAGCACTACTCCGCAAAATTATCTCAAGTTCAATCAAAAATCACAAATGATTTAGAAATTACCAAACATGGCCGAAACACATTTTGAAACAGAATCAACACAAAATGCTATTGTAGAAGGCCCCTTGCTAGACCTCAACACTTTCAAATACACTTGAAGCATACGCTACAACAACTACATCATCGTACGTATATTCGGTAGGTCTGTATCTAGCAATTGAATATGATGGCACCGTAGGTGGAGGAAAAGTAGCATTACCCATATCTTCCAAACTCAACTGAGTTGTATGCTTGAACATGGATCCCAAACCAAATCCTAACGGTGTTGCACCAAACTAAATATCCACCACGATACTAAACCTTTGATGATTGTTCTTCATGAATTCTACACGAACTTGCAAGACTATAACTTTTTCTGCCCCACTAATACAACACTAACACTTTTGTAAACCTTCAAAACTCCGCATCCATCAAAGAACTTGTACCCTTTAAAATCAAGAATACTCAACGAGATGAGGGTTTTTCTTCAAATCTGGAATTTGTCGAATCTAATCAAGTGCTCAAATTGTTCCATCCAATAGCCCAAGTCTAACTCTACCAATACCAACTCTCCGACAATGTACATTTTTATGATCACGACACCTTTCAAAATGATTTCATATGTTGCAAACAAATCCTGATTGTGACACATATAAAAAGCACAAGCTAAATCCAAAATAAAATTCTTGACAGATTTGAAGTTTCTGCAGAAATGGCCAACACACCATCATTCAAGTAGTTCTCTGCGACATCGACTTCACCTATAGTTTGCTTTCCCTTTTGATTTGCAACCAGACTTTTTTTTATTCTGCTACTTGTTGCAATTTCTCTTGATGAGCCATTTCTTTATGCAATAAAATACAATCTAGATTACTGAAATTAGACTTTGATTTGCCCCTCCCGTGACCACCATGAACAACAAGGTCTTCTCCATCTTTAGCCTCAAATCCAACAAGATGCTTCACCTTCTCTTTCTCCTTTGAAAATAAATCATCATACGCATTTTCAATGGTGATACTATAACGACTAGATAAAATCATGTCTCTAAACGAAGTAATCGAAGTGGGCAACGAACACAAAATAATTAAGGCAAAATTTTCTTAATCATACTTTACATCTAAAGTTTCCAAATCAATGCGATCTCCTTAAAAATAGCCGGTGATCTTCGAACTATCCGTCTTCTATCATGCAATGTGAATACAAACATTGCTTCAGGTGCAATTTGTTAGTTAGACTCTTAGTCATGCACAATTACTAAAATTTTAACTATAACGCAACTGTCGTTTTCTCCTTCAAAACGTCCCAAAAAATGTCATTTGAAAGATAAAGATGAATTTGTGAAAATGCCTTCAATCCTTATGTTGTTTCTCCTCTGTCGACCACGTTGAGGGTATCTTATCAAATCACAATAATGTATCATCCAAATTTATCTACGCAAGTATAGTTCGCATCTTCACTCGCCATAACGAGAATCTCGCGCTACGATCCAATAGCGGAATATCATATTTCATAGTTGCCATCAAGAACAAGAATCTCGAACAAATCAAAAAATAAAACTCTAATACCACTTATTGGGACGGAACTAGGATATACGATACTATATGAAGTATTAATCACAACAAGAAGATGAACATAAAGATAAATATTTAATTTGGTAGAGGAATTGGAGATTTTATTCAACCATAATGGAGAAAGAATTACAACAATTTTGTTTCTTACAATTATTCTAACTTTTGTAATAAATCGGCTTGTAAAGAGAGTCAATTATATATAGATGACAAATCAAAACCCTAACAATATTCTTGAAGATGGAAATAATATAAAAAAATGCGTGGAATAAACGAAACAATATTTTTCCAATAAAAAACACGTGGTATCAATATAGAATGGTTGATAGTAGAAAGTTAAAGAGAAAATTCATGAAATAGTTCACATATATAATCAATTTTAATATCGTAACATGAATATGGATGAATCTTTTGAGGTCTCTTCATTATTGATTTCTCCCTCCTACATGGAAAGACTCTGAAAAAAATCTTAAGCACGAAAGGATGAGCCTTTTTATATAAATGACAACTCAAGATTGAGTTGTTCCGAAGTGAAAGGAAACTATGTAATAGTTAGAAGAGAAAATCATAAACCAGTTGAAAAAAAGAAGAAATAAGTAGAGCGTAAGTTTTAGCTTGTGTGTTTATTTACACGAGAAAGTATAATTCAAAAGCGTTTTTCAATTCTGCACATTTTTGTCGGAGCCATCATTGTCAAACTTTCGGGATCAAATTGCATAGTTTAAGGTTCTATTTTAGCATTTTTTCTATTTTGAATTACTTTAGGGGTTTCGTCATTTTAGTTGTTTTTTAGTTTTATTCAAATTTATCTATTGAATTAGAATTTCGAGTTGATTAGAATTCATTTTGGCTCTTTATATACGTGTTAAGGGTTTAAAAACCCTACATCTGTTTTTGATAAATCTTATTTCAATTTTATTGTTATTGGGTGAATTCCAATATTACTCACGTCCGTTCGAACGAATTCGACCAATACTCGTTCGTGTGTTACGAACAAGAATCTTTATTTAGTATTTACATTTCCATCCTGCATCAATCCACATATTTGAAATTATTATTCATTATTATCCACACGTTTTGTGGTCCCCACAGTTGTTCCTCCTAAAAATTTCCTAAAAGATACTAATGATCTTTCTAGAACATGGGCTCTATTCAGGAGTCCCATAAAAGATTAGCTCCATATGAAAACCCAAAATGCAAATTTGTATATTGTTATAGCACCTAAGAATGTTATGATTTTTAAATTATTTTAGTACTAAACTACTCTGGATCCTTTTAGTGGCCTTTCATCTAAAGCACAAGGTGGCTCTTTCTCCTTCAAATTGGCAATAGTTTTCATCAGCTTAATGACGCGTTCCTTCAATTCTTGGTTTGTGCTATCTCTGAAAATAGGTGTTTAGAGGATATAATGGAGCCTTCATTCACACTTTTCATCTTTTCTAGCACCGTAGCAGTTAGCACAGTCGGGTCCAAAGAGTTGGTACCTCTTCATGCCTAACTATTGCAATCTTTGTAACATGATGGTTCTTTTGCAGAAAAAAATGTCTATATTATTGTTTGGTATAGATTCTCCAAGATTTTGGTCAATTTTAACTTCAATCACAACCTTAATATTCTCATAAGCCTCCTCAGTGCTACAAATCCTATATCATAGACTGTGTCTACTCCATAATTCATTATCCTACCACGAATCCCATCAAACTGGAACTGTATTTCACTAATTCTCTCATGCTCTTCAAGCATCTTATCTTTTCTTTCAGTTACTCTCTAATGCTAGATTGCCATCGACCGTGGAGAAGAAACCATATCGACATTCACAACAGGGAAAAGAAATCAGGCTTTTAAAGATTCTTACAGACAGTGCATCCACAAGTGAGGTTTTTATGAGCCCTGGTGCAACGGAATTAACGCGGATGTTATCCTTTGCCCACTCACATGCCAAGCTCTTCGTCATTTGATTCATTGCGCCTATTCAGAAACAAAACAACAATAAACATCCTTAAACAAATTATGAAACTGATGTAATCGTATCATGATGGTTGTCAATGTTCTGAAGAACTAACCTTTTGACGCAGAATAGATAGAAATATAGGGATACCCTAGTACCCCAGCTACAGAAGATATAAACACAATGTTTCCACTTCCTGATGCCTTTAAGAAGGGGTAAGCAAGTTGACTCAAGTGGAAGGAAGACTCGAAATTGGTACCCATTATGTACGTGTAATCTTCGTCTGTGAATTCTGTAGCTTCCTTAAGCATATTTATACCAGCATTGTTTACCTAGAGAAGATCATTAAACTTCCTCAAAATCAGCTCAAGAGATAAATTCATATAGGCAAGCAAATCATAAGCATGAAGGCAGCCAAACGTCATTTAAAGAAAGTAATTACTGCATTGCTTTAATGTGAAGCTTTTCTTTTCCGAAACCATAATTTTTTTAATTCCCTCTTTCTCCGTTTCTGCAACTTGACCATTGGGTTTTGAACGACTCCATCTAAAAGCTTCTTCTATTAAAGTAGGGATACTTCAATCTAATTAGATTTGTCCTCATCACATGCATGACATATTAACTTTTTGCAGTCAAACAAAGAAGCACAATTGAGTAATCACGAGACTTGATCTTAGTCAGTTAAACTTTCGCTTCTTCTAAAGTCACATCTAACATTTTCATCTAAAAACTTGAATAGTTAGGCTGGCCTCATCGATGAGGTATGATGTGGGGACCGTGGAAGAGTTATAGGCGAAGATATCTAACACGATAAAGATCTTTAAATGTATACTACTCTAATAAGCATTTCAACAAATAGGTGACTTACGAGGATACTAAGCTTCCCGTCAAAGTATTGGGCCACACTTTCCATTAGCTTCTGCCGCTCCACCCGTGACGACACGTCGCAGACAGACCCGGCCACTTTCAAGCCCTTGCTTCTCCATTTTTCTAGACATTCATCGAGTTGATTTTGCTTCCGCGAACATGTATACACAATAGCTCCGTGTTCTGCTAATTCTTCTACTATAGCATGACTACAAAGTACAAAACCAACCACAAATCATATAAAAAATGGACTTAAAACCCAAGAAGTCGTCAGACTTACAAAATGAAGCATGCACTGACTTACCCTATGCCTCGAGTACCACCAGTAACAAGAGCAGTTGTGCCCTTCAGAGACCACCTTGCATCTCCACCTCGGATTTCCATTCGGGCCATTGATGTTTTTTTTTGTTTGTTTGTAATCCTAAATATAAGAGAAAATTCTTATCTTTAACGCCAACCCTTTTCTTTTCTTTTCATTTTTTTAATCAAGGAGACTACAAAGGGTGCAGAGGACCACACAATTCTTGTAATAATCACCTTGGAATTTCTGGCCGTTTCTACGCAAGTTAGGTAGAGAAAGGAGAAATCTTGACGTTTTAACTGGATTACGAGCACATAATGTCCACACCTTTCGTTGTTATTATTGAAAACGTTCATATTTTTTATTTTTTGGCATTTTCATATTTCATTGCGCAAAAGGTCATTTTCATCCATTTTCTCAAATAAAAATTGTGAAATGACGAAAATATCATCTCTTTTAAATAAAACAAAAGGAAAAAGAAAAAAAAATTAAGTGCAATCATAGTCCCAATTGTTTGAAAAGTGCAAATGAGTTCTAAATAAATTATTAAAATGGTAATTAGTACATATTGTCCCTATCTTTGACCTTTATTACGAAAAACGTCCATACCTTTTACTTTTTTAATATTTTCACCATTAATTACACATTTGATTGTGCAAATCATCTCTTAATTTTCAAGCTTTTTGGTAGAGGTTAACCTTGGTTCGATGTGGATGGTTTGTACCATATTTTCAACTCAAATTATTTCATGCGGTTTGTAATTTTTTCTAACCAAACTAAACCATAATTTGAGGGTTGGTTCGGTTTTAATTCGCGATTTACCTATCACATTAAATAATATATTTAAAATAAGTTAACATAAGTTTAAACGAGAACTAATAATGTTAAATGTTAAATTACATTCATCTTTCTGACGAAACCCATGAATAACTTATTTTCAAAGTCGGTTGCTAAAAGATGTTAATAGAACGAATATATTTTTCTTCCTTTTATTTACCTTTTTCTTGTTTGTCTTCTTTCATATTGTTATATAACGGTTGGTAAAGATAGAGTCACATTCTGCTGTAATAGTTTGGTTAAAACTTCTTTCGTCCTACAAGTGAAATGAAAAATAAGGATTTGACATGCTATGTTTAAATATACAAAGAATGATAAAGTTTAGGTTTATTGAAAATTGGCAAATTTTATTTTCTAACGACTTTAAGAAAGTAGAATGTAGTAGTTAGCGGCTCGGGTGCTCGGCTCGTACTATTCATACCCACGAGCTGCTCGGACTCGTAAAAAAACGAGCCCGAGC